AGTTTAATTATTATAAAATCATTAAAATTAAAGTTGACAAACGTATGATAAGCACTCCGACCTAGTCAGTTATTAATATCTAAGAATAACAACGAAATGAGATAAAATATTGCATGACAATATATTGAGATAAAATATTGTATGACAACATATTGAGATAAAATATTGTATGACAACATATTGAGATAAAATATTGTATGACAACATATTGAGATAAAATATTGTATGACAACATATTGAGATAAAATATTGTATGACAACATATTGAGATAAAATATTGCACGACAACATATTGAGATAAAATATTGCACGACAACATATTGAGATAAAATATTGCACGACAACATATTGAGATAAAATATTGCACGACAACATATTGATATAAACTATTGCATGACAAAATACTCCCGATAAATACTTTATAAGATAAAAATGTTTATAAAACACCTCACTACATAGGTTAGTAATCTAAACAAAATATGTTAAAATAAGATACATTTTGGTTACACAGTGTAAGTAGACCTACAATATAAACTATTGAAACATAATATGCTAGTACAACTTTGTTCGTCTATTTTAAGGGGGCAGTATCACCCAGACATTTGAAAATTGACAAAAAAATTTGCCAAAAAAAAAACTATTATACATACACACATAATTTTTTTACCATAACAGTAAATATCAAGGAGCTATAAAACAGCACATAAAAAAAAAGTTAACGTATGATGCAAACACTTTTTATAAATAATTTTACCAAAAAATGTTCACTAAGTAATTTTAGGCTGCGGTTTTCCAACATTTAGGCCCATCCTGCTGAAAATACTCTAGGAGATGCATAACAGGGTAGCCTATGGCCGGAACTAGAAGATATCCATTGTGACAAATTTTGAAATTTTTAGAATTTTTCAAAGTCAGACCAAAATAATTGAACTTAGAAATTTTCTAAAAATTTTTTTTTTTTTTTTTTTTTTTTTTTTTGCCTCAGACATGTAATTTACAGCGTCAGTTGTGTGTGTTCGCTTTAGTATTACAGTTTTCATCACCGGCTTGTGAGGACTGACACAGATTTACAATAGTAATATTTCTTTCTTACTTGTAGCCTACTTTCATTCATTTAAGATGGTTTACTTATACATAGATCTAATACAAAACGTCTAAATATAAAGAAAAAAATAAAAATTAAAAACCAACCTGAAACTGAAAATGCAAATGTGTTATTAAATGATGATTCAAGGGATTTTTTTTCCATCAGCGTGGTGGGCTGAGGGGACGAGAAGGGGGGAGAGGGTTGAATTTTTTTTTTTTTTTTTAAAGTAGAGCTGAAATGAATTTGGGATTACAGAGAATTAAAATGATACAAATTTTAAGCAATCGGAAAAGTTATGTTATTACAATGAGACACGTAAAAGCAAACACTCTTCCCTTTCAAACATCTATATCTATACAGTCCTCAATTAGTTTTTTTTCCTTTTTTTTTTAATTATTATTAATTCAATTGTTTTAAACCTTTAAATCAGTAATAATAATTTATTTGATAGATTTTACACAGCATCAAAGACATGAACATCAATTGCATATATAATAATCAAATGGAGAAAATAAAATGGCATAAGAACTAGACTAAAATAAGGTGTGCAAACTAGGTTTCTCTTGACTGCTTAGTTTACTGTGCTCTGTCCTTAGCTGAGGAGTCAAAAGTTCACATTGTAGACAGAAACAGAAACCACCGTGGGAGAAGTGTCTCTGTAATACACATTACTGATCTATCATTCCAAAACTTTCCATGACATAAAATTGACCCTTGGCAAAGAGGGCACGCTACCTTGAAAAATCCGCCAGTCCGGTTGAGTGGAGGGAAGTGTGTGTGTGTGTGGGGGGGGGGTGAGGTGTGTATCTCTTTCTACCATTCAGGCTGTGCACTTTTAAAAACTCGGGAAACAGAAGACTGTTCTAATGTTAAATTACTTGGGGGCTGATCGAGTGATGTTTTGCTTGAGACTGTCGATATTAATTATGCATCTAGTTTATTTGCTTCTTCTGTAGTTCCAATTTTAGTTTCCTGTAAAAGTAGGATGTCAATATTGTGTTTATTTATTATGTTGTTTATATAATGTGTTTTGTCCCTAGCCCCCCTGATGTTCAATGTTGCCAGATTTAGCATGAATTATTTGGGGTTTTCTTTCGAACATCTGTTTCTGGAGGGCTGGATGGTGGTGGTCTTTTAATTCCAAACCTTCCAGCCGTTGGTTTGCTATCCCGTTGGGCCCTGGTCACGAACCTTTGAGGTGGCTTTACTGTAGGTAATTGATTTTTACTTGAACTGATTGCTTGACTATATGACAGTTGACCTGATACCTTTGTTGCTGATATACTTTGTGAGCTTTTAATTTCCTTTAGCGGTTTCGTTATGTTTTCTGAACTAGAGTTATCTTGAAGAATATTAGTTATTGTTTCGTCGACAGCCTCCAAATTTTCGTGATTCCCATCTTTTTGAGACCCGGTTACTATGGAATTCCTGGTTGCTATTGTCTCCATGGCTTCGGCCTCTATGGTGGTTTCTGTTACGCTTTCGTTAACTTGCTGCGGTGCTACAGTAGTATGATGTGCTTCAGTTTGGCCATCTACTTCAAAGGCATCTTGTACCTCTCTGTGCCTTGCTTCTCTAAGCATTTTATTTTGTCTTTCTCCTTCAACATCATAACTGTCCCAATGCTTTAAGAAATTTCTATTGTTACTTAGATGCTCCCTAACTTCTTCTTTATCATTTGCATCCCAAGGCTCAATTGCCCTGTACTGTCCATCTACTAGCTGGACGCCGTCAAGAGCGCGAGTCCTCAAATGCTCACACATTTTAGGCAGGTGCCTGTCTGTGTTGCAGTGGCAACATTGCACCCTCCTCCCATTGAGGATTATAAGGACTCTGCTCTCCTTGTTGGCCTCATTTGTAAGTATAATATAGTGTGGGACACTCTCCACATCTTCTTTCTCCAGAGAGATGGTGAATTGGACCACATTTGATTGGTCTATTCTCTTAAATGTTGGTGTTGAGTCCTGACTGCTTATAGATTTCAGAATCGCCATTATATCATCGTCACTTGTCTTGGAAGGGAGCCATTTCAGCATGCCCCTTTGCCCAGATTTATCGGCGTGGGTTATTGATATTCTCTGCACTCTGTATCTGGATGTTACTCCAGGTGGCAAATCTCTGTGAAATTCTTTTAGGTGCATTTTCTCATATAGTTCCTTTGATCTAATGGTGACATACCATTTACGCAGTGTCCCATAGTTATACAGACCTTCAAATTCAGCTGGTGATAGGCTACATAACATACATAGCTCTCTTTTTAGTTCGTCAGCTGTGAGAGTAGCTAAAGAAAAACCCTCTTCTATGAAAATCTCTAGAGTTTTTGGCGCATGTCCTGCCATGCCGAACTTAGGCAGGAATAGCCGTTTGATGTATTTCTCGGACATAGTTGTGCGTGAGGCCCACCCGGGGCCAGGCAACACACACAAGAAATAAAACAGAAAAAAAGTACTTACAATGTATAAAATGTGAAGAAAAAAAATAACACACACACAATGTTCCAAATGGAAATACACACGAGTTTAAATAAGTAGAGTTGAAATTAATCCAAAGTCACTGATTATATAATCTTTAGAAAATAGGTAATTTATCACAAGACATTGAGTCAACGTTCATATTGATTAGAACAGCATGGCATTCGTTACTGTTGATATCATACATCTATACAGTCCTCAAGATTCCAAACGTAGTTTGTTCATATTAAATAGTTTAGCAGATAATTCAATGATAAGAAAGCAAACGGTCAGTTATTTATTAGAAACGTAATCAGGTAGGTGAAATTCGCGACCCGCACACCGTCGCCACGAAGTTGGCGGTGGTTGATTCCGAGAAATGCACGTGAAAAGTCTTCTAAAAAATTTATCTGTCATTAGAATACTATAGTTTTAGTTCCGACGATAGCCAATAACGCAAGGAATGTTTATACCAAATTTTAAGTACTTTACTTATGGTTTCAAAAAATTGTTTACAAAACAATTCAAAATGTAATAAAATATTAACAAAATAATTTTTTGAAAATTTATTGCCATACCTATACCCTACAATTTATATACTGTATTATAGCAGAAGAAACGTTACTACTGCTGTAAAATTTTGACATGTGTATGTCGAATAGTTTTTTTTTGGTGATAGTTTTTGTTTCACTCCCTTAGTCTGGGTGATACTGCCCCCTTAAGGACATGTTTTGTTGCTTGCTGTGTTCGATACAGCTAGAAAAATAAATAAACATCGTAACAATAACCTATGTGATGCTGTTTTCTTGTTGTTATTACAAAGATGTTTTTAGAAGGAATAAAAACTAGATACGCTAGAGCTTTTCCTTCACACAAGATATAAACGCAAACATACGCACGGTATGAATTCCCATTCTGTATGCAATTTTAGTTCGATAAATATTAATTAGCTTCTTGCTAATCAACTGGTCGATAAATCTTTTTTCCTCTAGTCTATTGCCTCCGTTTAACCGCGTTATCATCCTTTTCAACATGCTTAACCTAGATCTAGTTACTGCCCTTTTCTTCATCCTTTCGTGTTGTAATATTGACACTGCTGTACTGCCTCCAGCTAAACTATGGCGTTTAACTAACTAGCTCATGTCAGATTTCCTACATATTCTAGCTGAGCTAATATGTCACACAATTACGTTTATTATCCACGTCCTAATTAAAATTAATTAATAACACTTGTCGCCAGACCTGTTATTTACAAACACTTGAACTAAACTTATAACCAGGAAGTTTCTAGAACGTTTATCTAAATATGTCCCTGCTTCACCAGTGTAAGGACTCTCATCAGATATAGTGTTTGCTGGCCTCTATAGGAACTGTTGTGTAGTATTCAACCTGCCCATTTGTTTACAATACAGCACCTACATATAAACGACATTTTATTCCCTAGAGACATCCCAGTCCACACCCTCATACATAGGACTAATCTTTTGGTTTTTATTAGAGTAGCCACAGGAAACTTCAAATTACGGTTTGTTGGTCACATTGTTTCTAAACTAGATTGTTTTATTAACAATTTTTTATAAGGTTTTGTAGGATATATGTTTATAAACTAGATTGTTTCATTAACAATATTTTATTAGGTTTTGTAGGGTATATTATGTTTATAAACTAAATTATTTCATTAACAATATCTTATTAGGTTTTGTAGGATAGATGTTTATAAAGTTTTTTTTTTTCATTAACAATATTTTAATTGGTTTTGTAGAATAAATCTAAATTTGTTAAATGACTTAACGTTTAAATAGAAGTTTTAAGTCTTATATTTACAGTAACGATGCGTATACTTAAGTTAAAAAAGTAAACTGTAAAGTATCTGTGTTTATTCTAGAATATCATACATTGTTAGCAACGCCCATTATTTGAACAATATATCATAAATCAATGTGCTTGACTATTTTAGTTGGCTATTTTAACAAAAGTACTTAGAAAGTATAATTTTATCTGACAAAATCTATTATTTAGGACTATATATTTTTTAATTCAGCACGTATTTTTTAATTCAGCACGTATATTATATTTCAAGGTAAGTCTCCAGCCACCATGTCGTCCCACCTGAGAAGTTTCCACCTGTGGTTTGGTCTGTGTTTGGTTGTATTGACGTCTGGCGTCAGCACGGTGACGCTGACTCACGAGCAGCGAGTCAGAGACGCAGTGGCTGAGTTAACTGGTGCTTGTAAAAGTTTGGTAGAGTATAACATGGGTGTGTTGATGTCAGGGTGTAGCACGTTCGAGGCCTTTCAAATTTCTTTTACTGGCAACTGTAACAAGACGCAGTTAGACAAGATACACACGGCGGTTTGCAACTTCAGTCTTTCGACGGCAACAACAACAACAGCAAAACCAGCAACCACAGATCGTACAACATATGTTCAACATGCTATCAACATCTCGATGTTCTTGCCATTGGCCCAGACACACAAGGAGTTAGTGGATTACGTCATAGCCAACATTTCTTCAGAGGATTGTCGTGCCATGATACAAGGAACCATCGCGAATATGCTGTCAGGAGACGATACTAGCTGGTGTGGGAAACTTTTGATGTATCAAGATTTTTTGATACCCAAATGTGAACAAAATGATTATAACAATTTTAAAGAAGCGATGTGTATGACATTTGTTAAAGCACCAACAAGCACCACACTAAAAACGACCTCCACACCAACACCAACATCTACCACATCCACGTCCACCACCACAGTACCACCAATTATCTCTTTATATCTCCCACTATCTGAGTCCCACAAAGACCTTGTGAGGTTGATCATCTACAACATTTCTTCAGACAATTGCAAGGCTGTAGTCACCTCAGACATAAACACTATTTTTGAATTTTCAGAAAGTCAATGGTGCTTCTACTTTTCCTCTTACGGTGATGCGTTAGTTAACAGTTGTTCTAAAGCTGATATTGACATTATTCGCATCGCCATGTGTATGCCGTTTATCAAGCCACCATCTACCTCGGCCAAGAGCACATCACCTTTAATGACCGCACTGCTGTCTAGCACAACTGAAGCAGTACCAACTCACAGCACGACAAGGTCGACAACCTCGACTGTGGAACCAACCAGTCAAAGAACTACAGACAGGACACCAGTAAACACCGTGTCAGTACACACCAACGAGACACCGGTACACACCGCGTCAGTACACACCAACGAGACACCAGCACACACCGCGTCAGTCCATATGAACGAGACGAGGCTACAGAAAGCTTTACGAGAAGTCGGCTATGATTTGACAACACCGACATGCAAACAGCTGCTGGAAGCTGAAAGGCAAACCCTGAGCAGCTTCCCTGAAGGATGTTGTATGCTGGAGTCTCCCATTGGCATGTCCTTGGTCCCGTCTGTGTGTACACAACTCGAGTACGACAGGGTGCACAATGTCCTGTGTGTCAACGTGACATGTACAACAACGGCACCACCAGAACACGTGACGGATAGTTCTGGCTACATGACGACTGGAACATCTGACAGTACAACGCCAACACACTCCACCGTGACGACAACAACCAACACCACCCCACCAAAGGCCAACATCTTCCCACTGAAACTTCGACTACTTTTCTCCGTTATTACAAATGATAACGTGACGGAACAGCTGGAGGTGTTGGTCAACTAAACTCTGGCACCAGACCAACAGCTGGGGTGTTGGTCAACTAAACTCTGGCACCAGACCAACAGCTGGAGGTGTTGGTCATCTAAACTCTGGCACCAGACCAACAACTTGGGTGTTGGTCAGCTAAACTTTGGCCACAGACAAGATGCATCAAACATATTTTTATCTAGACTTTTGTTTACCAGCATGCTTATAAAATCACTGTTTAAATTTAAAATCAAAAGACATATGATTGACTTGCATCACTATCAAAATGTTTACATTTACAGACAGAAGACATGATGATTGGCTTGTGTCAATCCCACTACCAAACGATCTGTAATTCAAATGCTTGTGAGCTTAAAATAGTTTGCAATTCTTTATTTGCTAAATATATATAACATTTCATTATGCTTTTCTTCAAAACAAAATTGTGCATTATGATTCATGACTAAAATGCATAACTTAATAATCAGATGCCTTTTTATAAATAGATTTTAAATTAAAAGATTGAAATACAAGTCATGTAACAGTAAATAATTACTTTATATCAGAAGATACCATTTCATATTATCTGTGTCCTTGATATTCGTCTCCTTTGCTTCCCCGGGTTCTTTGTTTATTGATGTACATATACAACAGATGCCCCTTTTTAACAGATGCCCATTTTAACTGATGCCCCATTTTAACTGATGCCCCTTTTTAACAGATGCCCCTTTTTAACAGATGCCCCTTTTTAACAGATGCCCCTTTTTAACAGATGCCCCTTTTAACTGATGCCCGTTTGTAACAGCGGCCAACATTTTAGGTACCGCCCCCCCCCCTAGCTTGGGTCCATCAGCTGTGTGGAGAGCGTGAGGCCTGATACAAGGGCAACATCTGGCAACATCTAGCAATATCTGGTAACATCTGGCAACATCTGGCAATATCTGGCAACATCTGGTAACATCGGGCAACATCTGGTAACATCTGGCAACATCTGGTAACATCTGGCAACATCTGGCAACATCTGGCAACATCGGGCAACATATTGAGATAAAATATTGCATGACAACATATTGAGATAACATATTGTATGACAACATATTGAGATAAAATATTGTATGACAACAAATTGAGATAACATATTGTATGACAACATATTGAGATAAAATATTGTATGACAACATATTGAGATAAAATATTGTACGACAACATATTGAGATAAAATATTGCACGACAACATATTGAGATAAAATATTGCACGACAACATATTGAGATAAAATATTGCATGACAAAATACTCCCGACAAATACTTTATAAGATAAAAATGTTTATAAAATACCTCACTACATAGGTTAGTAATCTAAACAAAATATGTTAAAATAAGATACATTTTGGTTACGCAGTGTAAGTAGACCTACAATATAAACTATTGAAACATAATACGCTAGTACAACTTTGTTCGTCTATTTTAAGGACATTTTTTGTTGCTTGCTGTGTTCGATACAGCTAGAAAAATAAATAAACATCGTAACAACAACCTATGTGATGCTGTTTTCTTGTTGTTATTACAAAGATGTTTTTAGAAGGAACAAAAACTAGATACGCTAGAGCTTTTCAACTCGGTTTTCTTCACACAAGATATAAACTCAAACATACGCACGGTATGAATTCCCATTCTGTATGCACTTTTAGCTCGATAAATATTAATCAGCTTCTTGCTAATCAACTGGTCGATAAATCTTTTTTCCTCTAGTCTATTGCCTCCGTTTAACCGCGTTATCATCCTTTTCAACATGCTTAACCTAGTTACTGCCCTTTTCTTCATCCTTTCGTGTTGTAATATTGACACTGCTGTACTGCCTCCAGCAATGGTGTTAAACTTACTAGCTGAAGTCAGATTTCATACATGTTCTAGCTGAGCTAATATGTCACACAATTACTTTTATTATCCACATCCTAATTAAACTTAATTAATAACACTCGCCGCCAGACCTGGTATTTACAAACACTTGAACTCCACTTATAACCAGGAAGTCTCTAGAACGTTTATCTAAATATGTCCCTGCTTCACCAGTGTAAGAACACTAAGCAGATCTAGTGTTTGAAGGCCGCTATGACAACTGTTGTGTAGTTTTAAACCTGTCCATTTGTTTACAATACAGCACCTACATATAGACGCCATTTTATTCCCTGGAGACAACCCGGTCAACTTCCTCACACACAGGGCTAATCTTTTGGTTTTATCAGAATAGCCGCAGGAAACTTCAAATTACGGTTTGTAGGTCACATTGTTTCTAAACTAGATTGTTTTATTAACAATATTTTTAAGGTTTTGTAGGATATATGTTTATAAACTAGATTGTTTCATCAATAATATTTTATTAGGTTTTGTAGGGTATATTATGTTTATAACTAAATTATTTCATTAACAATATCTTATTAGGTTTTGTAGGATAGATGTTTATAAAGTTTTTTTTTTCATTAACAATATTTTAATTGGTTTTGTAGAATAAATCTAAATTTTTTAAATGACTTAACGTTTAAATAGAAGTTTTAAGTCTTATATTTACAGTAACGATGCGTATACTTAAGTTAAAAAGGTAAACTGTAAAGTATCTGTGTTTATTCTAGAATATCATACATTGTTAGCAACGCCCATTATTTGTACAATATATCATAAATCAATGTGCTTGACTATTTTAGCTGGCTATTTTAACAAAAGTACTTAGAAAGTATAATTTTATCTGACAAAATCTATTATTTAGGACTATATATTTTCAAAACTTTTTAAATTCAGCACGTATATTATATTTCAAGGTAAGTCTCCAGCCACCATGTCGTCCCACCTGAGGAGTTTACACCTGTGGTTTGGTCTGTGTTTGGTTGTGTTGACGCCTGGCGTCAGCTCCGTGACGCCGACTCACGAGCTTAAAATAGTTTGCAATTCTTTATTTGCTAAATATATATATAACATTTCATTATGCTTTTCTTCAAAACAAAATTGTGCATTATGATTCATGACTAAAATGCATAACTTAATAATCAGATGCCTTTTTATAAATAGATTTTAAATTAAAAGATTGAAATACAAGTCATGAAACAGTAAATAATTATTTTATATCAGAAGATACCATTTCATATTATCTGTGTCCTTGATATTCGTCTCCTTTGCTTCCCCGGGTTCTTTGTTTATTGATGTACATATACAACAGATGCCCCTTTTTAACAGATGCCCCTTTTGACTGATGCCCCTTTTTAACAGATGCCCCTTTTAACTGATGCCCCTTTTTAACAGATGCCCCTTTTTAACAGATGCCCCTTTTTAACAGATGCCCCTTTTAACTGATGCCCGTTTGTAACAGCGGCCAACATTTTAGGTACCGCCCCCCCCCTAGCTTGGGTCCATCAGCTGTGTGGAGAGCGTGAGGCCTGATACAAAGGCAACATCTGGCAACATCTGGCAACATCTGGCAACATCTGGTAACATCTGGCAACATCTGGTAACATCTGGTAACATCTGGCAACATCTGGCAACATCTGGCAACATCTGGCTCTTCTCAACTTCGGGCCAGGCTTTGTGCTTGGATTTACAAGGCGGAAACATCCACTAGTCTATTAGACTACAGAGCCATATATATACGCCCGTATTTAACAAATGCCAATTTTTAACAGAGGCGAACATTTAACAGGTGCCCATATCTTGCAGATCCCATAAGTTTACCATACCAACAATTCTACCATACAATAATTGCATATGTCGAGGCCTCTAAAAACAATAACCCCAGGAAACAGACGAACGCGAAGACAGATTAGTTTACTACAAAAATCAAAGGGGAATAATCAAGGTTTTATCAAGTTAACAACATCAAGAACCCAGTTACTGAACTTTACAAATTCCTTTTTCGATATTTTAGCATTGAAGACTATGTAAACTTAAAGCTGTAAGATGTGGTGTTCATTGTTAACTCGTGACTCACTACTGAAAAGCTCTGTAATAGCCAAGCTTGTATACGGGAAGAAGGCATCTTACTAGGAAATAAACCGGGAGTGATCTCCCCTAAACTTTCTCGAATATTCTTATATAAAATAACAGGGGATGGGAACTCGGGCTATAGACATGATTTTTAATCCATTTTAAATACTTAAAGTTTTAAAAATAGAATAAAATCTCGTAGACAAATTAATTGCACACCAAGTGAACGCCAAATAAAAAAGCGTATAATAGTGCGCAATATTATTAGTACTTTTAAAATTTACATTAGTTTTTTGAGAAATCGGAAGTAGCGTAAATTACTACTTCCGGTCAACGGAAATTACTCAAAATTTAACAGAAGGTAGAGAATTAGATCTTTTACTTACATGTGAAATTTCATTTATCTATCTGAAATAGTACTCAAGTTATAGGCTTTTGAAAAATTCAAAGTAGGAAAAGTACCACTTCCGGTTATCGGAAATCGCTCAAACGTTGATACGTATCTACGATTTTGATAAAATACTTATATATGAAATTTCATCAACCTAGCTGTAACGGTACTCAAGTTATCGTGTTTACACACGGACAGACAGACAGACAGACAGACACACAGACATACGGACAAGATTGCAAAATTATGTTTTTCCGTATCAGTGAAGTGTAAAACGTCGAGATTTGTAAAAATCTCGATTTTTTTTGCACGATTACAAGACTTTCTCTATACTTCGTATATACGAGAAAGTAAAAATGAATTGGTTGAACAACAGAAAGACTAGCAAATATTTTCTAACACCTTTCTATGGGGCCTTAAAGTTAGATAACTCCTGGTGAGTTTTAATATGTTAATATAATAAACATAATAGATGTCTGGACAAGCAATAGCAGAGCAAAAGATAAACATACAAGCTGTAAGGTCACGTGATAACCACTAGCAGAAGTAGAAGACTTGAGATAGCAGCGAGCAACAAGATAGGTCATCCTGTCCTGGATGTTACATGTAGTACTGGTTTTTTTTAACCAGCCGCTATGAACGTGTCATAACAAATATACAAACACTGTGTTGTGTGTCATTTGGTTGTGTCGCAGTGTTCACTCTGGTTGTGTTGTCAGCTAAGATGTCCTAAAAGTGAGCAACAACTAACCGCAACAGCTTGACACGTTATCTATCAGCTAACATTCGCATCAAACTTACAACTAGGAAGTCTTCAGAATTATTATCAAAAGTTTATCAAACTTACAACCAGGAAGTCATGAAAGTCAAACGTTTATCAAACCGTCTTCCCACTTCACCAACATAAGGGCACTCACGTGATCGCTAATCTCATAGAATACCTCTCACTGTGCCAACTACTAGACGAGATACATGACCATCACCACCAGAATGTCTAGAAGAGCCGGACGAACCAGTGGAGAAAACACATCAACTGCTTCCTCGCTCAAACGTCAGAGGGTTAGATATATTTTATATACAGGAAACTACATCTTAAGGTAAGTTCTTGTAAACAAAAACAAAGTGTTTTTCTTTTTACGTTAGTAAGTCGTTTATTGATAATAAACTAATTTCTTAGATTTTTGGAAATTAAAGTGAAATTTGAAAAAATTACTATTTTTATAGCAAGAATTTTTACCGAAATAATTATTTTTTTCTCTAGTAAACTGTGTCCTAACTTTTGCACAAATATTCACATAAATGCATTGTCTACAATGTGCATTCTCCTTATAAATTTAAACATTATTCATGTGGGTTAGTTATTGACCCGATAAAATCAAAATTTGGCCAGAATCTGGCAGTTATTGTCACATTAGGCTCTAGTGGCACTTTCATGTCAGGGAATAGAGGTATTGACATATGTCAGGGCGGGATTTATACTCACTTTACTTTTTAATCTCACTAGCGGATTGATGAAAAATGATTGGACACGGTTTTCATCTGGTGATTGTTTGTCTGTTGGTGACGTCATCACATCAAACAGAGTTCGACCAACTAATAAGGTCTGTTTCAAACAACTGTGGGAATCTGCTACAGGCGTATCGGGCAAATGTGTCTGGCTGTCAGGGTTTTAGAAGTATTCAATCAAAGCTGTCACAACCATTTTGTACCAGTGGGGACATTAACAAACTCGAGGAAGTCTTGTGTGGTACAGGCAGTAGCCTGCCAGGTAGTGGCACCAACACAGGTGGTGTGACGTCAGCAGGTGTCCCAGTTCACCACTCCAGCCCAGCCAGTGCCGTAGTCAAGGAGACACCGGATGTGACGTCACCTACTGATACAACTGCTGATGTCGGTCCTGCTCTACCGGTCAACGAGACAGACTTACAAAAAACTTTTCGAGAACTGGGGGATGAGATAACGTCGCCTATGTGTAAGGCTGTTTTAAACAACCGAGCGAATGTTCTGACCAGCTTCAGTGAAGCGTGCTGCATGTTGATATCCTTCCAGACCACCCTGGTGCCAGGACTGTGTACACAACTCGAGTACGACAGGGCGCATGACGTCCTGTGTGTCAACGTGACACGTCAAGGTAATGAACCAACAGATCACGTGACAGATAGTTCTGACAACCTGACAACAGACAAATGTGCCAAAACTACATCAACAGACGTGACTGGTACGACAACATCCACTGACGTAACTGACAACACAACATCAAAAGATTTTGCAGGCACGACAACATCAATTGACACTACCTCCAAGACAACTTTAACAACCACCCCTGTAGCGACAACACCAACAAGCACAACATCACCTGACCCAGCTTCATCCACCACCGCCCCACCAAGAGCCAACATCTTCCCACTGAAACTTCGACTCCTTTTCTCGGTCGTTACACACGATGATGTAAAGGAGCAGCTTGAAGTGTTGGTCAACTAAGATACAAATCTCAAACTTCCTAGCAAGAGAAGATTTGAAAATTTTTCATCGATTCCTTATATCATCCGCTTTGCTTCATAATGTGTAATACAATTGTCGTGAGCTAAACATATTTTCTACACAGCCTTAACCCAATCTAAACACAATTTCTTCATTTATTTTCTAAAATACGTTATATTATAATTCATTTCATGAATATTTTTACATTATAAACAGATTTTATTTTAAAATACATTTTTGATATAATGATTTGATCTTTCGATTTGATATAAAGATTTGATATAAAAAGTTGATGTAATCATTTGATGTATTCATTTGATATCATGTTTACGTATCTGTAATGTTATATAAAGCCGGTATTTCAAGCTGGACTAACAGCTGCCATGTTGAAATATCTGTATAGCAAAAGATTATTTATCTTGTGGTATAATTAGTTTGTACTATTTTTAGTAATTACAATATTTGTAAAAGTCATTACAGACATTGAAATTGTTAATACAAAATCTGGTATTATGGTGTTGTCTTTTAGAACACTTGTGTATATACACACAGTATGTAGTGGAGTTTTTAAAAAAGGATCTGTGTTTATGTTTTTGCGTGGTGATAATAAATACTTTTATAGAAGCACATATTTCCCATATTTTTTTATTTTGCAGAACCATAATAATCGTATCATAATATTGTATATGTAGGACAATAAAACAATGATACTTCAAAACACAATCAAACAAAAATCCAGTTTACCTATTTTTGTAAATCTATATTAGAACGTATTTAAAGGGCAATAACCACAATTTTATTAATTAAAACAGAAAAAAACCCAGTTAAGGAACCTGACCGAAAAGAGTATAGTGAAGATTTATTTTAATTTGCTGTAGTATTAATGTATTTTTTCCCACGTTTTCTTTAACTTGCTTTCTCTGTCTGTTTTTCCAATCCAATCTTGCGATCGAAATTTCTGGCACTTCCCAGTTAGCTAGCGCGCTGAAATTTTCAGGGAAGCTTTCTTTTGGATGACCATAGAATATTCAATTGTTATTATTACTAAATTGATCAATGGAAACATTTTATTGAGCATTTTAGACCGCTATATAATCTATATATATAATTCTCCTCTGCGAGCCATTAGAAAAAAACCAGCGACGCGTAGCTAGCCTCTCTCTTGCCGCGCGCAGTGAAGCGAACGATCCCACTTCGCGACAGGCTTAGGGGCAGATAATTACGTTTGAACCGACTTTAAACTTACAGGAGGTTACTATTACCACTGGTGGCCAGTTTGGGGGAGACGATATGATCGAGTGGTTGGGCACACGATTGCTATCCCACTCGACACGGGTTCAAATCTATGTGTTCTAGTCAGTAACCAGCCCTCGTCCTAACCGCTATCAACTAACCTCTGACAATCATTCACTTGCGATTGAGACCGAAGAAGAAAGGGTCTCTCGTTTTTTACGAGTTGTCTTTTTTACGAGTTGTCTTCGTTTACCCAAAAAAAAAGTGAAAAGATAAAATCGATAGCAAGATTTTAATGCAAACAAACAGACAAAGACTAAAAAGTAGAAAATAATAATCATTAAAAAAGTTAAAAAAAACCCACGTTTTCTGATTGAACTAAAAAGTAGAAAATAATGCTATACATCACAATAATGCAAGCCATCACTCTACTATAAGCGATCAAAAACGTGGGGCGCCGTGATTTTCTTACAGTTTCTAATACTGTTGACTCTCTACAAGCTCCCTAATAAAAGTCAATAGTATTATCTAATCAATAGTAATATAACTTTTACTTCGGCGCCCCACGTTTTTGATCGCTTATAGTAGAGTGATCGCTTGCATTATTGTGATGTATAGTATTTATTTTCTACTTTTTAGTTCAATCAGAAAACGTGGGTTTTTTAAAACTTGTTTAATGATTATTATAACGTGTTTGCATACGGGTTTGGGATTCGGTACCGATAGATAAACTAAGTTGTGAGAGGCAAGCATTATACCGCGCTAAAAATTAATTAGTTTAATTATTATATGGACAGTAAAATTAAACTTGACAAACGTATGATAAGCATTCCGACCTAGTCAGTTATTAATATCTGAGAATAACAAAACAAGGTAGTCACGTATTCACGACCAATAGAAGCAGCTTCTTCTTCTCCTTCGATTTTAATTGTATGTTGGACCGGATCTCTTTAAAAACAATTAGGTATAACGTGCCAACATTCAATTAACAATATAGACCATTGACCCCGATTTCAGCCTTCTTTTCTTCATGAGTGTGTTTCAGAATGAGACGACACAAAGATAGTAGAGTGTAGCTACACGATATGAGAGATAAGATGTGTAGCGTTTTGTTTTAATCTAACGAGCCGTTACAAGTGTGTTATCACACATACACATGCTCTGTGCTGTGTGACGTATGTGTGACGTGTGTGTGACGTGTGTGTTACGTTCAGCTCACCCTGGATTACATTCATGACCAGTCAACGTTACTCGTACAACACTGACGCATATGTTAATGGTACCAGCACTGACGTATAAAGAGAAAAATAAACGCTAAGGAAGATTTGCCAGGTAAAATTGTTATAAGTGTATTTGTGTAATTTATACACCTTTTATTTTGAATACCTTTATGCAATTAACCAGTTTAAAACCTCAGTGTGAGTGTACAACATTACGACTCTACTCATGAACAAGAGACCTAAGCGGTAGAGCGCTAAGCTACTAACCCGAATGTCTCGAGTGGTGTTTAGCGAAGTGTAACGAGTTGCGTTGGGATGATCTAGTCAACTCCAAGTGCTGAATTGTATTGACACCCCGGACAAAACATTTAACTTCAAAACAGAAGTCTCATTGATGTTCAATGACCTTTGACCTATAACGTCCCGCCCCCACCCCGTCCATTCCAAGACTGAGACCGTAAGCCTGAATGACAAACAGGTTTTTTAAATGTGACAGGCTTTGTGTGAAACTGGTTCTGTGTGTGGCTGGGTGTAGGGAGAATGAATGAAGCAGCGAACATTTGGTGTGGAGGCTATCACCGCTAGAAGCGGAAGTACACACACACACACACACACAATGACGCGTGTTGTGTCGTAACACACGTAAACAGCGTGACACTGTCATCTGACCTTAAACAAGGTAAATTTTACACAGCAACCTTGCGATTTTTAAACATAAAACATTTTTATTCTGAGCAAATAATAAATTAATTATACCATGTAATAAACTCTAGTTTCTCTATACATATAGCCACTTTATATATATATATATATATATATATATATATATATATATATATATATATATATATATATATATATATATATAATATATAGTATTTTAATAGATGTACGTTTACAAATTCATTTCAATAACGCCTCACAAATTGACTGGTTGCATGAAACGTGTTTATCGGAGAGGAAATTGGATATTTTACACACACAAATCCTGTTTGAGATTACGCTATGGATCTAAAAATCACTTTTAATCCGGCTCAACGTTTACGGCGGGCTGTGTGACTTTGTATGGTGCCTCGTTTTCGGTGTCAATCGATGACTGTGCTCTGCTGGGTCTCTCTTCTGTGAACACGTGTGTACTGACACATGTGTTCAACACACCTTTTGATCTGCTAACCTATGTGAAGCTAACGGTGTGTGACAGTGTGTGTAGTTCTGTAATCAGGTTAATGCGTGAATCCTACACCCAACAATAGTGAAGGAGAGTACTTATGCTAGACTCTATAGGCTAATAGGAATATTTTGACGAATGAGTTTACAATTACCTGCGATTGTTTATTACAATTACCTGCGATTGTTTATTACAATTACCTGCGATTGTTTATTACAATTACCTGCGATTGTTTACAATTACATGCGATTATTTACAATTACCTGCGATTGTTTATTACAATTACCTGCGATTGTTTATTACAATTACCTGCGATTGTTTATTACAATTACCTGCGATTGTTTATTACAATTACCTGCGATTGTTTACAATTACCTGCGATTGTTTACAATTACCTGCGATTGTTTACAATTACCTGCGATTGTTTACAATTACCTGCGATTGTTTACAATTACCTGCGATTGTTTACAATTACCTGCGATTGTTTATTACAATTACCTGCGATTGTTTATTACAATTACCTGCGATTGTTTATTACAATTACCTGCGATTGTTTATTACAATTACCTGCGATTGTTTACAATTACCTGCGATTGTTTACAATTACCTGCGATTGTTTATTACAATTACCTGCGATTGTTTACAATTACCTGCGATTGTTTATTACAATTACCTGCGATTGTTTACAATTATCTGCGATTGTTTATTACAATTACCTGCGATTGTTTATTACAATTACCTGCGATTGTTTATTACAATTACCTGCGATTGTTTACAATTACCTGCGATTGTTTACAATTACCTGCGATTGTTTACAATTACCTGCGATTGTTTATTACAATTACCTGCGATTGTTTACAATTATCTGCGATTGTTTATTACAATTACCTGCGATTGTTTATTACAATTACCTGCGATTGTTTATTACAATTACCTGCGATTGTTTATTACAATTACCTGCAATTGTTTATTACAATTACCTGCGATTGTTTATTACAATTTCCTACGATTGTTTATTACAATTACCTGCGATTGTTTATTACAATTACCTGCGATTGTTTATTACAATTACCTGCGATTGTTTATTACAATTACCTGCGATTGTTTACAATTACCTGCGATTGTTTACAATTACCTGCGATTGTTTATTACAATTACCTGCGATTGTTTACAATTACCTGCGATTGTTTACAATTACCTGCGATTGTTTACAATTACCTGCGATTGTTTACAATTACCTGCGATTGTTTATTACAATTACCTGCGATTGTTTATTACAATTACCTGCGATTGTTTACAATTACCTGCGATTGTGTATTACAATTACCTGCGATTGTTTATTACAATTACCTGCGATTGTTTACAATTACCTGCGATTGTTTACAATTACTTGCGATTGTTTATTACAATTACCTGCGATTGTTTACAATTACCTGCGATTGTTTACAATTACCTGCGATTGTTTATTACAATTACCTGCGATTGTTTACAATTACCTGCGATTGTTTACAATTATCTGCGATTGTTTATTACAATTACCTGCGATTGTTTACAATTACTTGCGATTGTTTATTACAATTACCTGCGATTGTTTATTACAATTACCTGCGATTGTTTATTACAATTACCTGCGATTGTTTATTACAATTACCTGCGATTGTTTACAATTACCTGCGATAGTTTATTACAATTACCTGCGATTGTTTATTACAATTACCTGCGATTGTTTACAATTACCTGCAATGGTTTATTACAATTACCTGCGATTGTTTATTACAATTACCTGCGATTGTTTATTACAATTACCTGCGATTGTTTACAATTACCTGCGATTGTTTATTACAATTACCTGCGATTGTTTAAAATTACCTGCGATTGTTTACAATTACCTGCGATTGTTTATTACAATTACCTGCGATTGTTTAAAATTACCTGCGATTGTTTACAATTACCTGCGATTGTTTATTACAATTACCTGCGATTGTTTAAAATTACCTGCGATTGTTTACAATTACCTGCGATTATTTACAATTACCTGCGATTGTTTACAATTACCTGCGATTGTTTACAATTACCTGCGATTGTTTACAATTACCTGCGATTGTTTATTACAATTACCTGCGATTGTTTATTACAATTACCTGCGATTGTTTACAATTACCTGCGATTGTTTACAATTACCTGCGATTGTTTATTACAATTACCTGCGATTGTTTATTACAATTACCTGCGATTGCTTATTACAATTACCTGCGATTGTTTACAATTACCTGCGATTGTTTATTACAATTACCTGCGATTGTTTACAATTACCTGCGATTGTTTATTACAATTACCTGCGATTGTTTACAATTACCTGCGATTGTTTACAATTACCTGCGATTGTTTATTACAATTACCTACGACTGTTTATTACAATTACCTTCGATTGTTTATTACAATTACCTGCGATTGTTTATTACAATTACCTACGACTGTTTATAATGCGAGAAGACTTGTGATTGGTTGGTTGTAGAAAATCAAACGTGATTGACCTAGATCGATTGCAGCTAATACCTGGCATTTGATTTTTTTAGCAGAGATCGATGATACACATAGCACCACAAACGCAGGGGAACGCTAAAAATCAAACAACAGTTGAACTTTTCTTAAGGTTTGGGAATGGAGTTTTTTTTAATTTCTATTTATCTTCATTAGTTTAGTATGTGTTTGACTAATTACGTAGGCCTATACTATATAAGCGTCCGTGGCTAATCTGTGTTAATCTGTGTTAATCTGTTGTTGTTTGATTCACCTGTGTACAGTCAGGTACATCCGTCAGGTGCATCCTCAGGTGTGTGGGTGTCCAGTGGATAATCTTTAGTTAATCCACCCAGCAGACGATTACACAGCTGTGTACACAACTCAAGTGTGTACTGTACACACCTGTTAGTCTAGTCAAGACTAGGTGTCTGGTGACGGTAAGACCATCTTTGTGACAAGTATCTAAGATTTATAGGTTTTTTTGCCGACATGCTTATTTCTCTATTTCTAAAACTTGGGTCTAAAATTAAAAATAAATAGTTTGTATGTATGTGCATGTGTCCGTATGTATGTATGAATATGTTCATGAGTTTAACTAGATTGTGTGCGGCTTTACCACGGCGAGATCATCCACCCAATCGATGTGAGGAAAATCGATAGCTCAGCCCTAAATAATACACAGCTGTGAGCGGAGCGTGGTCCAGTTGTTGAGATCGATGGCCGTGTTTGGTCACGTGAGTCAACAAACCTACCACGTGACAGTGTGTACAGCAGTCTGAGATAAAACTCATTCAACTGCTTACAGGAATAAAAGTACATTACGGTGGGCTGGGGTAGAGGTTTTGTGTCCGTGGATGGTCCACTAGGTGCCCAGCGGTCCTATACTAACTTCTTCTGTGTTGTTTTATAATACTTCTCACTTGGCCTAAACAGATCACAGTGATATGCATTGGTTAAACTTTCACGTAATACTATCACGATCACGTCGTGTTGGGGAAAATGTCTTAAGATGTCATCAAACGTATACCATGTGATACCATCCCAATCACACATCAAGCTGACAGTCACAGGTTCGCTTCACAGTGTGTTTAAAATCGAATGTGATAACAGTTTTCTCAGAAACCATAGTAGTGTCCGCTTGTTAGCGTGTAGTAGTATGTAGGGGCGGGCGGGGGGGGGGGGGGCGGACCGCACCGGGTGACACCATTTAGGGGGGTGACACCAAGGCAAAAAATAGCAAAATATATAGAGAAAAACTTGAGGGGGGGATGCAAATCAAAAGTTTGAGGGGGGGGAGGAGGGGTTGCAAATCGAAAATTTGAAAGTTTGTCCCCGGGAAGGGTCGCTACGCCTCTGGGGGGAGGGGGTGACTCCATTAAGTGCCGCACCGGGTGAAACCCGACCTCGCTACGCCACTGTGTAGGGGGTAGTGTGTATGGGGTAGGGGGGACCAGTGTGACGATTCGTGAAACACTGTGGGGGGGGGGGCTAAATTATGTGAAGGTAGTAAGTGATGGAAACTGTTATTTTGTTAGCTTCAGGGGTGGGGGAATTAGGGGTGGGGGATATGACGTCATAAAGTCACGTGTGGTCTTTGTTTATTGTTCATGAACTTTTAAAACGGATAATGAAGCTCGCATGTAAATTAACTAAACAATGTCACGTAGAATATCAATGTTTTTTTTTTTAAAATAATCTAATTAAAAACTGTTGTAGACAAAAGACAAAAAGACCGTGTGTTATCAGTGTGCACAGATCTCCACAGGGGTCACTTATCTCAAACCGTGTCATCGTCTAGCGTCTAGTTGTGTGCAGTTTAAAATAGTAGCTCGCTTGTCAATCGTGCTTCACACTATCTGTCAAGGGCGAGAACTCAGGAATGCTGCGTGACCTAGCATTCATTAAGATTGTCATCATTTAGGCTGTTTACTGCCGAACGAGGAATATAATTTAACGAATGTGGGAGGACTGTAGTTCTGTTTGGGAGGAGTACATTCTTATAGCAAGACTTCTGTGAAAGGCTGTTTTTATTTTAATGAAAGTAAAATCATAATCATCTTGGATGTGTTAATGTTTTCTTGTGATTGTCTCAAGTAAATATCTATTAGGCAAAATCGTGTTATTTGCAGGTCTTTTATTTCATTTGTCTTGATGCTGATATTTTTTTCATAAAAGATTAAAATTTATCGTCATTATAAACTGTGGGTAAGTTGATCGTGTAACCAGAGACTTACAAAAATAAGCCGCATGATTTAGTATGATTGTAGTTCGTGTTCACAACGATTAGTTCAGTTTGATTACCTTACGTTTTAACCAACAGACAAGTGCTCCCCTCCCCCCCCCCACCACTAGTACTTAACTTGAAAATGTCAGTGGGTGTCAGCATGTCAGTTTGACACCACCCAGCAATGTAGATCCACTCAAGTGTTTTAGGGAAATCTTGAATCTAGGCTGTATGTCTCACTGATTAATCGAACCTAGAACCTAGGACCCTCATAGCCTGCTGTAAGATGATCTACACAACACAATCATGTGTCATTCGACTTGTTGGTCTAGTGGTATTCGAACCTAGGACCCTAGCCTCATAGCCTGCTGTAAGATAATCTACACAACACAATCAGGCGTCATTAGACTTGTTGGTCTAGTGGTATTCGAACCTAGGACCCTAACCTCATAGCCTGCTGTAAGATGATTTACCCAACACAACCAGCTGTCAGTAGACTCGCTGATCTACTGGTATTCGAACCTAGGACCCTAACCTGCTATAAGATGATATGCCCAATACATGTGTTCTCCATAGACATCAACCTATGCTTTGTTGTGTGCTGTTAATGTTGAGAGCTTTGTTGGGTGCTGTTAATGTTGAGAGCTTTGTTGGGTGCTGTTAATGTTGAGAGCTTTGTTGGGTGCTGTTAATGTTGAGAGCTTCGTTGTGTGCTGTTAATGTTGAGAGCTTCGTTGTGTGCTGTTAATGTTGAGAGCTTCGTTGTGTGCTGTTAATGTTGAGAGCTTCGTTGTGTGCTGTTAATGTTGAGAGCTTCGTTGTGTGCTGTTAGTGTTGTGAGGGCTAGGCATACAGTCTAATGCTACATGTTGTCCAAGTGCCATCAACCAGTTAAAAAATGTGTTCTGTGTAGGTTTATACTGCTCTAGTTTAGCCTTGTATTGTTTTATACTTGTACTAGCCGTCCCGGCCAGGCCCTGCTCTGGCTTCTGTGAAAAACCTTTCTGTTAAAGACCATTACCTGTGTGTTTAGTAATCATCATAAACCCGGCATTGCCCACCCAAACCACAACCAACCAAAACAACAAAACGCAAACATAACGCTAACACAATTACAAATACAAACGAAAACAAAAACCTAACAACAAACCCAACCACAACCACAAACACCAATACAAACACAAAGAAAAAACAAACAAAAAAGCAAACGAAAACAAAAACCTAACAACAAACCCAACCACAAACACCAATACCAACAAAAAAAAAAACAACGAAAAAGCAAACGAAAACAAACCAAATCCAAACGCAAAACCAACCAAAAACACAAATACAAACCCAAACAAAAAAAAACACAAACAAAAACGAAAAAAGAAAGAACAAAAACGAACCAAATCAAAACGAAACCACTAACGCAAACCCACCTAAACACAAAGAAAACACTAACGCGAACATAAACGCCCGCGGCGGAATCATCTGTTTTAGCTTAATGAACGACTATAGTACCCCAACTTATTCATAGTCTTTTGCACTCACTTAAACGAACGCGCCTGTTTCAATTTAATGAACAATTTTAATACTCCAAGCTTATCCGTAAAATACCTACAACATTTGCACTTGATCAATCCCCGCTAATTATGTAATTATTTTTTTTTCCCAACACCAAAACAAAGTAATTAAAAAGTAAATTCTTTTCCACAAAATGCAATGGTTTTATAAAGGGAAGTAATTGTGTTTTCCTAATTTATCAAAGGGAAGTAAGTGCTATAGGACTAAATAAAGACATAATTAGAATTGTTGTAAAAGATGATATTTTTTTAAAACTTGTGTTTAATGAACATGCCGACAATTATTACTATAATTTGAAAAATGAAAATTATTTCCCAACACTTTCAATAGTAATTTTTTAAGTCATAAATTTAGACAAATGCGCACGATAATTGTCTAACACTTAAATCCATCCAAGACCAACGACAAACATATGCGTTACATACAGAACTGAGCTTTATATATTAGATTGGCTTGACAATGGAACGGCATGGTAGAGTCGTTGATCACTCGATAACCGACTCGAAAGTTTCGAGTTCGAACTTTGGCATTGTCTTGGTCTTTGAGTTCACCCAATGCTGATGTGCACGTGACTGCTTTCGAGCAAGTAAAGACAGCTGACCTTAGTGGCGACAAGCAAGTAAAGACAGCTGACCTTAGTGGCGACAAGCAAGTAAAGACAGCTGACCTCAGTGGCGACAAGCAAGTTAAGACAGCTGACCTCAGTGGCGACAAGCAAGTTAAGACAGCTGACCTCAGTGGTGACCAGCAAGTAAAGACAGCTGACCTCAGTGGTGACAAGCAAGTTAAGACAGCTGACCTTAGTGGTGACCAGCAAGTAAAGACAGCTGACCTCAGTGGCGACAAGCAAGTTAAGACAGCTGACCTCAGTGCTAACCTCACTACCCTATCATACACCGAGTACACAGAAACTGCTTGCACTGTTTGGTTTGAAAGGGAACTTGACATTTTGTATCTACTTGACATTTTTGTATCTACTTGATATTTTTGTATCCACTTGACATTTTTGTATCTACTTGACATTTTTGTATCTACTTGATATTTTTGTATCTACTTGACATTTTTGTATCCACTTGACATTTTTGTATCTACTTGATATTTTTGTATCTACTTGACATTTTTGTATCCACTTGACATTTTTGTATCCACTTGATATTTTTGTATCCACTTGACATTTTTGTATCTACTTGACATTTTTGTATCCACTTGACATTTTTGTATCCACTTGACATTTTTGTATTTACTTGATATTTTTGTATCCACTTGACATTTTTGTATCCACTTGACATTTTTGTATCTACTTGATATTTTTGTATCCACTTGACATTTTTGTATCTACTTGATATTTTTGTATCTACTTGATATGTTTCTATCTACTTGACAGTTGTCACACCGGAGCATGTGCCCCTCATGAGAGGCGGGGCAGGTATGGAACTGCCATTGTTTACCTGAAGTAACCTAGCAACCATCACAAGCGCCGCACCTGTACACGTAACCATGTCTGGCACCGAAGACCAGTGGATAGCCATTCAGGCCAAGACTTTCCTCAACTGGACCAACGAACAGCTCAGCATAGGTGAGTAGACCTCAACTGGACCAACGAACAGCTCAGCATAGGTGAGTAGACCTCGTACTGACCAGCTTATTGTTCAACCGTTATTCGACTCGACTGACTTAAACAAATCATCCTACGTTTCTACAGTATCTATCATACTAATAGTCTAGCTCTACTTCACCTACGACACTCTGTACCTGAAATGGCCCTTGGTTTCCTTGTATTGCAGGCAACAGGTCTATAGAGAACCTGTCTGTGGATCTGTGTGATGGCGTCAAGCTTGTGGCTCTGGTCGAAGCTCTCCAGTTCAAGAAAATCGGCAAAGTCTACTCCAAGCCGACCAGCCGCATACAGATGTTGAACAACGTCTCTCTCGCGCTCAACGCTATTGCCGCGGACAACGTGAAACTAGTCAATATTGGTGAGTCGGGGTTCAAAGGTTAACCTGGTCAATATTGGTGAGTCGGGGTTCAAAGGTTAAACTCGTCAATATTGGTGAGTCGGGTTTCAAATGTTAAATTAGCTAGCACTAATGAGTCGGTTCAAAGGCTCCTCAGACCAATATTTGCGAGTGTAGAGAATCAAGAGTTACATAGCTTGAAATTAGTGGATCTGGATATAGCCAATAGGGCTTGTAAGTAGGTCACCAACTTCTTATCATACTAGCCAGCTAGTATTTTTCAAACCAATTATAAATGTTTATTAAATCGGTAAAAAAAGAAATGAAATTTATTTACGCTATTGTCAAAATATTTAAAACCGTAAAAACTGATAATGATACTTTGAGAATTCACCCGACCCTGGCTAACGAGATTTCAAATTTTAAGTAAGAGAAGCAAAGAGACTTACATGCCCTATTGTTAAACCAATTTATTTCCTAACATGATTCCATGTGGAAACTATTCGTAGGTCAAAAACTCATTTTGACAGATTTTTTAACATAACGTAATTTTTTCATCTGATCAGGAACAGACGACATAGTTGGCGGGAACCTGAAGCTGATCCTCGGTCTGCTGTGGCACCTGATCATCCGGTACCAGATCAGTTCCAGTAAGTCCAAGGCCCCACCCAAACAGCTGATGCTCACCTGGTTCAAGAACGCCTTGCCTGGCCTGACCATCACAAACTTTACATCCAACTGGAGGGATGGTATAGCACTACAGTAAGTCAGTAATTGTGGGGATGGTATAGCCCTACAGTAAGTCAGTAATTGTGGGGATGGTATAGCCCTACAGTAAGTCAGTAATTATGGGGACGGTATAGCCCTACAGTAAGTCAATAATTGTGGGGATGGTATAGCCCTACAGTAAGTCAGTTTTTGTGGGGACGGGACGGTATAGCCTTACAGTAAATCAATAATTGTGGGGATAGGATGGTATAGCCCTACAGTAAGTCAGTAATTGTGGGGACGGTATAGCCCTACAGTAAGTCAGTAATTGTGGGGAAGGTATAGCACTACAGTAAGTCAGTAATTGTGGGGACGGTATAGCCCTACAGTAAGTCAGTAATTGTGGGGACGGTATAGCCCTACAGTAAGTCAGTAATTGTGGGGACGGTATAGCCCTACAGTAAGTCAGTAATTGTGGGGACGGTATAGCCCTACAGTAAGTCAATAATTGTGAGGACGGTATAGCCCTACAGTAAGTCAGTAATTGTGTGGGACGGTATAGCCCTACAGTAAGTCAGTAATTGTGGGGACGGTATAGCCCTACAGTAAGTCAGTAATTGTGTGGGACGGTATAGCCCTACAGTAAGTCAGTAATTGTGGTGACGGACGGTATAGCCCTACAGTAAGTCAGTAATTGTGTGGGACGGTATAGCCCTACAGTAAGTCAGTAATGTGGAGAGGGGACGGTATAGCCCTTCAGTAAGTCAATAATTGTGAGGACAGGATGGTATAGCCCTACCGTAAGTCAGTAATTGTGAGGACAGGATGGTATAGCACTACAATAAGTCAGTAATTGTAGGGACGGCATAGCTTTACAGTAAGTCAGTAATTGTGGGGACAGGATGGTATAGCTCTACAGTAAGTCAGTAATTGTGGGGACGGTATCCTTCCATCCTTCCTTAATCCTCATCACTCCCTGTGGAGTATAGGGCAGCAACAAATCTCCGCCAGTAAAGCCCTACAGTAAGTCAGTAATTGTGGGGACGGTAAGTTACTGATGTTAGTTAAAAGATGATTCAGTGGATTTTCTATAAGATTTAATACTTCCTTATGTAAATAACATTAAGTTCTATTTTATGATGCATTCGTTAACACTCATTATTCATTGTGAATTTAAAGTTTGGCGTGAGAAATAGTTTTGTTTAATATCAAATTAGCCCACTCATGTTTCGATCTTTACCTTCCTTCCTCTCTTCTATCCATCCCACCTACAACTCCCTACTTCCATCACCAGCCAAGACCCCTTCCTCCCCTCTTCCAACCCACCTCCCACATATCTCCGATGTTATTGTTTCGATGTCCATGTTAACCCCATACCCCTGTGTCAACTGAACTGATGTCCTTCTCTTTTTTATCAGTATGTTAACCCCATACCCCTGTATCAACTGAACTGATTTCCGTCTCTTTTCATCAGTATGTTAACCCCATACCCCTGTATCAACTGAACTGATTTCCGTCTCTTTTTATCAGCGCCTTGTTGGAGTACCTAAAGCCTGGGCTGTCACCCAAATGGGCGGAGCTTTCTCCTAAAGACAGGTAAGACAATGGGCGGAGCTTTCTCGTAAAGACAGGTAAGACAATGGGCGGAGCTTTCTCGTAAAGACAGGTAAGACAATGGGCGGAGCTTTCTCGTAAAGACAGGTAAGACAATGGGCGGAGCTTTCTCGTAAAGACAGGTAAGACAATGGGCGGAGCTTTCTCGTAAAGACAGGTAAGACAATGGGCGGAGCTAGAAATTTGAACACTTAAATAACCTTCCAAAACATGACATTATCGTTGAAGTAATTAAAGTATTTTTTAAAATTATTTTATAGTATCAGTTATTTTAAAATATTCACATTTAATATAAAAATACTTCTGTACACATACTGAATTGAACTGTATGATTTTTTAAAACAGCTTTGTAAGCTACATCAAAAATATTTTATAAACATTTAAATACCTTTTTTATATGACTAAGTTTAGTAGATTGATAATTTTTTTTTTTAAATTTCATTGTTGTACGTTAACAATTCACCAGCAAATTTAATTATGTTTAAATAATTTGTGTACCTTCGGTAGCCTCCAAAATTGCCGGACAGCGATGCAGTTAGCCAAGGAGCATTTGAATGTTCCGAGAGTCATTTCCCCTGAAGACTTTTCCAGTCCAGATTTGGACGAGTTATCCGCCATGACGTACCTCTCCTATTTCATCCGTAAAATTTCCCCTGGGTACTACAACACACTCAACTGGGCTTGTAAACAACTCAAAACAACCAACATCAGCAACCTAACTGTAAGTAGGTCAGTTGGTAACTAAACCAACATCAGCAACCTAACTGTAAGTAGGTCCACTAGAACTTTACAGCTAACATTAGTCAGTAACTTAACAGTGAGTACTTGAGTAGGTCAATTCGTATTTTAACAACCAATATCTCAGCAAATTCACTGTAATAGGTCAACTGGTAACTTCATGAGAAAAAGCACCTTATGCCCTAACTATTAGTAGGTCAACTACAGCTTTGCAATAATTAACTTATTGAATTAACAGTAAGTAGGTCAATTGGTAACTTAACAACCAAGATCAGAAAACCAACTGTAAGTAGGTCAGCTGGTAAATTTATAACTTACATTCATACATTAGCAAGGCAACTATAAAGTTGTGAAGACAAACAAGGTAGTTCCACAAAACCAAGATAATCATCAAAAACTTAACTAGATGTAGATCTACATGTGTGTAGATAAACTAAAGGATATATTTTTTTATGTACTTCTAAAATACTTTAATTCAATATGTCTATAATTATTTTCACTACTGACAACTTGACTGACATAATTAACCTAATGCACTGAAAATATTTTCCCCGTTGACTTGTTCACAGACTGACTGGAATGATGGCTACTACCTGTGTTCACTCGTTCACTCCCTGGGGGGTGAGGTGCCAGGCTGGCCAAACATCAACAGGAAGGACCATGTTGCCACTTGCCAGTTAGGTCAGTTTTCTTCAAATTTTGGTTTCTAAACTTTACACTTAAAAGAATTCTACCTTGTTTTATATAGATAATACATACTCAATTAATATATAAATGATAATTTCATATTGTTTGACTTGCAAACAATTTGTTTTGTTTTAATTTTGAACAAGCATGTGTACATATTTTAAGAGAGAAAATTATACAGATTTTTTACAACAAAAAGTATAATATTCTTTTTTTCAACACCTTTTAATAATTTTACTTAAACTGCTTTATAACTGTTAGAGTGATTACAGTATTGAGGTTGATCAACCAAGCTGACCTTTTTGTCCAGGTATTGAAAGCGCCCAGAAGCTGGGCATTGACCCCATCCTGACAGCCACAGATCTCTCTGACCCAAATGTAGACCACCTGGCCGTCATGGCCTACCTGTGCAAGTTCCAGAAGATCACCCCAAGGAAGGACAAGTCTGAGAAAGTTGACGTTGACTGTAAACTTTTGGGTGTGGCTGTGGGAAATGTTGTAAGTTTTTTGGGTGTGGCTGTGGGAAATGTTGTAAGTTTTTTGAGTGTGGCTGTGGGAAATGTTGTAAGTTTTTTGGGTGTGGCTGTGGGAAATGTTGTAAGTTTTTTGGGTGTGGCTGTGGGAAATGTTGTAAGTTTTTTGGGTGTGGCTGTGGGAAATGTTGTAAGTTTTTGGGCAGATAAAATTTACCATTGACTGGTCTAATAGTTTTAACAGTAACTTCTTTATCAGAAGTTCAAAGGATGTAGAACATAAAATGGATGGAGAATATAAAATGGATGGAGAACATAAAATGGTTTATCAAAATTATATCCAAACACTAGTCGCTCGCTTTGTTGAGAAAATTTGAACATTGCAAACTAGATTTAAAATTTAAAAACAGTTTGGCTAATTTAAGATAATAAAAGATAACAATTCCAGCATTGTAAACAAAAAATGTTAATCAAAGATGCCATCAGAAAATAACCAACACAAGTTGTAAAAGTAAAACTGATACTGTAGTGTTGTCTACTTATGTAATTGTTGGATGAAATTTCTCAGATACATTGTAGGTTACACTTATGTAATGGTTGGATGTAATTTCTCAGATACATTGTAAAACTTATGTAATTGTTGGATGTAATTTCTCAGGTACGTTGTAAGCTACACTTGTGTAATTGTTGGGTTATATTCTCAGGTACATTTCCACATCAACGCAGCAGACGTAGACACACAGGAGTCTAAAGTAAAGACCTGGGTGTCAGGTCCCACAACCTCACCCCCCTGCCAGATAGCCTGGGCCAACAGGACGGCCACCTGTACCTTCCAGCCTACTGAAATTGGTTTACATAAGGTGAGATTTTCTTTTTCAAGAATTTTAATTTACATGAGGTATGATTTTTTTTCATGTAGGCCTTCTGTGAATTTTTATTTTACATAAGACATGTTTTTCTTTTCATGTGCTTGATTTTTAAATACTTAAGGTGTGGTTTTCTTTTCCATTTTGTACAATTTTTTAATACATAAAGTGTGAATTCATTATTTTGTGTTGTTTTATTATTAAAAGGTCTGATTTTGCCATCATATAATGTAATAATTTATCAATATGATTTTGTCAAACATGTAATTTTGTGTTCTTAAGTAATTTTTTTAAATAATTATAAAATATAGTTCTGTTATATAAAGGTATTGTTTTATCCATGTATTTCTAAATATTCTTGTATAACCACAAATAAATACACTAACACACATCTTTGATAACATTTCTCCCTAGATATTCGTCCAGTATGTATAACCACAAATAAATACACTAACACAACTTTGATAACATTTCTCCCTAGATATTCGTCCAGTATGTATAACCACAAATAAATACACTAACACAACTTTGATAACATTTCTCCCTAGATATTTGTCCAGTATGTATAACCACAAATAAATACACTAACACAACTTTGATAACATTTCTCCCTAGATATTTGTCCAGTATGACAATACAGACATCCGAGGCTGTCCGATCACATTCACAGTTCAACATGACCTAAGCAAGGTCAAGATCACTGGATCTCCGAACCCATGTCGTGTGGGCAAGCCACACACTATTGAGGTCATAATTTTAAATCAAATTATTTCAAATATAATTTTATTCAAACATTAATATGAACTTGTATGGTCATAATTTTAAATCAAATTATTTCAAATATAATTTTATTCAAACATTAATATGAACTTGTATGATCATAATTTTATATCTAATTATTTCAAATATAATTTTATTCAAACAATAATATGAACTTGTATGGTCATATTTTTAAATCTAATTGTCCAACCATTAATATTAAATGTTCTATTTGTCACAACTAAAACAAAATTATAATAAAATAATGAGACATAATTGTTATCAAAATTGTGTATATATATATATATATAAATATTAGCTTATAACTGTTGATATTTTAAATTACATTTTTCAGATATTTTGCCAAAAGGAATTACAAAACTCCCTAGAAATACGAGTGACAAGTCCCAATGGGGAGCTGAGCCATCTCAACACAGACCCCATTCCTGAAGGGTTAAAAGCAGTTATAAGACCCTCAATGCCTGGTCAGTTTTATCTCCCCTCTCATCAATACTACTGTAATTCAGATTAACACTTCTTTAACTAACAAAAGAAATTAAAATGGTTTAGCAGATGTAGGCTTTAACTACTGGCTGCAAGAAACAAAGTTCTTATGCAGCTTCACTAAAAAAAAAGAATTTGTAATTTTTGAAATGTTTACTGTATGAAATATAAGATTTGGCTCATTTTCTTAAAACCAGTAGTCAAAAAATATTATGTGTGTATTTATCTATGTTTTGTTATCTTTAGGTACTTGGAGTTATCAGACCTTAGTTGGAAGTCTAGAGGTCAGCACCGTCAAGTTTTCAGCTTTTGACCCTCTCAAGGCTTGGCTGTCTGGGCCTGAAAAGGGAGTGGTTGGAGAAAGTGTTACCTTCACAGGTAGTGTGTTAAAGGGGTGTTTAGAGAAAATGTTACCTTACAAATATGTGTTAAAGGGGTGGTTGGTGAAAATGTTAATACCACAGAACACTGATAGAAAATGATAAGTGTGAGTAGTTAAATCTAGTGTAATTTCTCTGAGCAACTGAAAAAGTAGGCCTATATAATTTAATAAAGGTGTACCCGCTTTATCCATCAATTTTAAATTAATGATATGGAATCGATATACTTTCTTTAGTAAACTCCTATTTGGTTTATATTATTTAATCTACAATCTTGATTGTGGCAATGATAATATTTGGTTTAATCTTTAGTCAACAATCATGATTGTGGCAATGATGACAATATTTGGTTTAATCTTTAGTCAACAATCGTGATTGTGGCAATGATGACCTGGAAGCAGAAGTAACAACGACAGGAGGCAGGATACTGGATGATGTGCACCTTGTCAAATCCAAAGATATCCACAACATAACCTTTAACCCCAGGTCTGCTGGGGTTTACAGGGTCAAGGCTTCTATACGAGGGGAAGTAATCAATGGTATTCTTTCACTTTTTTATTTTTTAAATTAGAACTTTATTTATAATTATGCTATATTGTCTTTGTTTAACAATTAAAATTTAATTTTCAGAATATATTTTTCAGGTTCTCCAAAAACTGTTGAGGTGGTTGACCCAGGTCAGATACTGGTCACAGGGGAAGGTTTGACCAAGGGAACAAAGGGTGTGGAGGCCTACTTTTATGTCAACAAGCAGGGACTGGATGGAGAGATCTCAGTAGTTATAGAAGGTAGGAAACAAGTGCCTAGAAGCATAGAAGGTAAAAAAACTGGTGCTGAGTGTTATATTTTTTAAGATCTTCCATTTTAATAGTTAATAAAGTCACACATGTCAAACTGTTGTAGTGACATTCTGTTATTCCTTGACATAATGACCCCTTATCAAACGGTTGTAATGACCTTATGTTATTCCTTGACATAATGACACCCTTATCAAACTGTTGTAATGATCTTATGTTATTCCTGTCTTGCTGTAGTTGAAGGTCAGAATGTTCCAGCGGCCAGAGAGAAGCAGGCAGCAGATGAGTTTGGCTACATGTACATCCCTCCCAAGGTTGGCTTTTACAAGATTGATGTCAGATGGGATGGCAAACCTGTAGCAGGTAGGGTAGGAGTTATCTTTCTTAATCAGGGTTTTTTAGAGTTATGGTTCTTTGTCTATTCTTAATTTTTTTTTTTTTAAACTGAATATTAGTTGTTTTTTTTTTAAATAATGGCTACAAAAATAAGAATCCATTCTATGCATTTGAAAAAGATCATGAATATTAGTTCAAATTAAATTTTACTTTTGTAAAGAATAAACCAACACACCAAGCACCTGTATGCCTATCACATCCACTTAGTTGAACATAGCTCTGATATTTATCTTCCACTACAATCAAAATTATGTTAATGAGCCTAAGTACATCAATTAATCAAACAATTCAAACATTTTATCCTTTAGTCTTGATTCAGAAGGTGACATAGTTATTCCCTTCACACAATGACTGAGACCAATCAACAATTTTTCAAATGTCTTCAAAAGGTTCGCCCTTCATGGTCAACATCACTGACAAATCACGTGTGATTTTGCTGGACAACTTGGCTGAGCTGAAGGATGAAAGTGACCACGTAGCGCTCACCTACAACCAAACAACAACTTTTAATTTTGACATTAGTCGGGCTGGACCTGGTATTCAGTCTAATTATTATTTGCCTCCATGTTTATTTTATTTTAATTTTGACTAGATGTACCCTTATCACTCCAATATATATGTAACCTATTTATGCCAATACATAAAGCCATACTTTTTCCAAAACCATATTTGAAGGTAAAATTTTTTTAAATGTAGCACATATTTCTTTTAAATATTAAAATAAAAAATAAAATAAATTAATTAATTATCTAATAAACTAAATTTATATTTTTTTTTTAAATTTGTGTGTTAGTAGCAGTAAAAAATAACAATTATTTTCATTATCAATCATCCATTATTAAAAAACAATTATTGTCTTTATTAATCAATCCAATTTTAAAGCACCTTTATTTTGATAATCAATCAATCCAATCAGGTCATTTGACCGCTGAGGTTTTAAGTCCTGAAGGCAAACTGCCAGTCCATGTTACACAGAGTACAGACAGAGCCACAGTCACTTTTACAGCTAGTCATGAAGGTAAGGGGGTGTACTAGAGGTTTATTAATGAGCTTTTATTATAACCAGCATGCAAATATATTCATGAGGGTAAGGGGGTGTACTAGAGGTTAATTAATGAGCTTTTATTATAACCAGCATACAAATATATTCATGGGGGTAAGGAGATGTACGAGAGGCTAACTAATGAGATTTTATTATAACCAGCATACATGTATAGTCATGAGGGTAAGGAGGTGTACTAGGGCCTAACTAATGAGATTTTATATAACCAGCATACACATATATTCATGAGGGTAAGGAGATGTACTAGAGGCTAACTAATGAGCTTTTATTATACTCAGCATACATGTATAGTCATGAAGGTAAGGGAGTGTATTAGAGGCTAACTAATGAGCTTTTATTATACCCAGCATACAAATTTATTCATGAGGGTAAGGAGATCTACTAGAGGCTAACTAATGAACTTTTATTACAACCAGCATACACGTATAGTGCCGTATAGGCCTTCAACAAAATATAAAGAAAAGCTGAATATTTAGATCAGTTAAAAGGAAACAGAAATGATTGGTGCTATTTTAAAACATAGTTTAGTGATTTGCAGGAAAAATATAAAAATGACACCATTGGTGTCAAAATTTGAACAGGCTAATCAAAATGAATGAGGATGTTTCAGCCTTAAAGGGTTAACTGATAAATAAAGAAGCAGTGTAACTATGTATGTCTAAGAATGACACTTCATGTGGCAGTAATATGTAGTGTATCCTACATTTTCAGGTGACCACTACATCCACCTGTACTGGTCGGAGGTGCCACTGGACTACAGCCCCATACAGGCCTACTGCCCTGGACCTCCTACTGTAGTGGACGCCAGTAAAGTTGTCATCACAGGAAAAGGGGCTGAAAGTGGCAGGGCTACGGTCACGTCTAAATTTATCATTGATGGCAAAAAGGCTGGAGCTGGTATGTTTGTTGATTAAATTAAAATAGTTTTTTTTATCAAAACCACTTAACTAAAATGATGAACAAGAATTTTTCTTAATTCATTTAACATTATAATAAAACAAATCAACAAAGCATTTATTTAAAAAAAAAAGAAATATTTAAATTTAAAAGTATTTAAAATTTTAAAATTTAAATCAGGTGTTGCTAAAGTGAAACTGCAAGGTGTGATGAATGAGCTTCCTGTCGATGTTAAACCCCTGAAGTACAACAGGTATCTGTGCAGCTACACATCCAATCTGCCAGGTAAGGACATCACTCTACTTCACCTGCTCTTGGGCCATCTGGTCTGAAAAAAAACTTTTCAGTCGTATAAATATGTTTTTAGACTTTTGTATAGCAGCTAGATACAAAACTAATGTCCAGTTTTTAAACAGTCAGCATAAACTAATGATATAGCCTTATCTCTGTGTATGTATTTTAATTTCATGTAATTAAACTTCACCTAAAAAATATAAACTACCAAAAACAAACATTGCAAATTATTTATATGCTTGTTTTCAAACAGGCAGCTTCCTCCTGTATGTCTACTGGTCAGATGTATTGGTGCCTGGCTGTCCTTTCAAAATCAACATCACCACCAAAGGGGATGTCAGGAAGGTCAAGGTTACCGGGGAGGGTCTCAGTGGAGGAATATTTGGCAGTGAGCTGATTGTCTATGTGGACACAGTGGAGGCTGGGCCAGGTAATCCAAACATGCTAGGTGGCCAGGTAAACCAAACATGCCAGGTCACCAGGTAAGCCAAACATGCCAGGTGGCCAGGTAAACCAAACATGCTAGGTGGCCAGGTAAAACAAACATGCTAGGTGGCCAGGTAAAACAAACATGCCAGGTGGCCAGGTAAAACCAACATGCCAGGTGGCCAGGTAATCCAAACATGCTAGGTTGCCAGGTAATCCAAACATGCCAGGTGGCCAGGTAATCCAAACATACCAGGTGGCCAGGTAAAACAAACATGCCAGGTAAAACAAACATGCCAGGTGGCCAGGTAATCCAAACATGCCAGGTGGTCAGGTAAACCAAACATGCTAGGTGGCCAGGTAAAACAAACATGCCAGGTGGCAGGTAAAACAAACATGCCAGGTGGCAGGTAAAACAAACATGCCAGGTGGCTGGGTAATACACATATACTAGGTGGCCAGGTAACACATATATACTAGGTGGCCAGGGAATACAAACAAAGCCATCATGAATGACACTTTCATAAGCAAATAATTAAACATTAACTCTATTATTTGTATAAAATCTTTGTAAAAGAAACAACCACTAAGCAATTTTTTTTTTAATTTTAAAATTTTCTTTTGGTTTTTTAATCAGGGGAGATAACTGCAGAATGCCACAGTCACAGACAAAACGCTCTATGTGATCTGATAGAAAACTCTGATGGCCAGTACATCTTGAGGATAACTCCAACAGAAGCAGAAAAACATGTTCTGCAGATCAGATATGATGGCATTCAAGTGCCTGGTGAGGCCAGTTTTAATTAAACTTCTTAATTTCTAATTAGTTAAACTTCTTAATTTCTAACTATTTTATCACTTGTCAAATATTTGCTAGATATATTGGAGACAAGATTTTGTTAGAACCACTGCTGGGTCACATGCTATAGAATCAGACTTTTTGGCCATCATTCATGCACCCTATGCAAATCTTGTTAACAATCACTTAAACCAGTTACAAGCTAGTAATGAAAAACAAATACACACATATACCAGAATCCATGAGAGGAAGAATATATTTTCTAGCCAACAGCTGTAATATTGACTGAAACACAAAATACATTCAAATCTAGAATGTTCTCACATTTAGGATAACTTCTGTCACTTAAAACACAAAAATGTGTGGTAACTATTTACCTTGCAAAAAAAAACTACACGTACCTACTGCCGTAAAAAACACCAGTTAGCTGAACCACTTCAATTATAAACTAATAATGTAATTAATAAAGCTTGGGTTTTTAATTTTAAAATAGAATCAAATTATAATTCTTAACTTCTAAGAATTGATACAGATGTACCAATATTCATATATAGATCTTAATTTCAAGGTTTATTGAAGTAACAAACATTGAACAACATTTCCCTTTGGGTTATTTTTTACAATGTCACGGATATTTAAGCACCTTATGGGATCACAGGTATAGGTTGTCTCCCATGCTTATATATAAATTAAGTTATTAATTAATACAAATGAATATTTATATATACATATATATGTATATATATATATATATATATATATATATATATATATATATATATATATATACATAATATATATATATAAATATAGATGTATAGAAATACATGTATATATACATACACACAATTTGATGTAAAAGAGCATTTGTCAAATATGCCTGATCTCTAAGATGTATTACCTGGACTAATATCTGCTAGCATCTACCCCCAGGCAGTCCATTTATCCTGAGGGTGGGAGACCCACCTGACCCCAGCAGGGTGCGTGTGTTTGGGCCTGGGATTGAAGATGGACACATTGACAATTTTCAGTCCAGATTTCTTGTGGATACACACGGGGCAGGTGCTGGACAACTGGCTGTCAAGATTAGAGGACCACGAGGTAGGTGTCCAACCAGAGGCGTAGCGAGGTGTTGCGGGGGGGGGGGGGGGGGGTGCGGACCGCACCGGGTGACACCCGACCTCGCTATGCCACTGTGTCCAACGACAAATTTTAGCAGGTCATGAAGGTCTTTACTGCTTGAGGACATGTAAGAAGGTCTTTGAATATCTTGACTAAACTGTGAGCAGGTCCTTGATTCTGTTAATTCTGGAGGTTTAATAAACCTGCGTAATTTGAAGTCCAATGTTACTCCATTATGGTCTTACTGCATTAGCTAATCATAGCATTGTTAAATTTATGCATTTTCTTAAAATGATACATTTTGTAAAATCATGCTATTTCTAAAATCATATATTCCAAAAATCAGGTCATTTCTAAAATCAGGCCATTCCTAAAAATCCTGTTTTAATTAATTTGATTGGATGTTTCAGGTGGTTTCAGAGTTGACATGCGAAGAGAAACAATCAACGAGAGGATTATCAACTGCAGGTTGGATTATCTCTTCTTAGATTACTGGATAAATGTTTTCTCTGTTTAATTGCTATTTTAGTTCCAATTTGTAAGATAATAAAGTACACCAATCCATTCAACTTTAATGCAATGTCTTTTTCCTAATAAAATTCTTCATAAGTAAATATTGGTAGGTCTATTTATTAAAACAGAAGACTACTTTTGTCAATTGTATGCTTTAGCATAATAATTGTGTGATAATTGTGTCAATAATTGTGTCAATAATTGTGTCAATAATTGTGTGATGAGTGTGTGAATGATTATTTGATATTTTGTGATACATGAATTTTATGAATGACTGAGTCATCAGCAAATGACCCTGTAAAAAGTCAAGTATGACTGACTAGACTCTACACAACTGACCGCTATATTTTGTCCCAGGTATGACCCCAGCGAGGCAGGTGAGTACGCCATCCACGTCAGGTGGTCAGGTGTGCACGTACCTGGCAGCCCGTTTGTCGTGAAGATTGTTGAGACCAGAGAACAGCTCAATCGTCTGATAGCTGAGCGAGGCTATAAGCTGCATGAGGAGCAGCTGGGCTGGAAGGCTGAGATTTAGCTGACTTTTTGTTGATTTTATGTGGGGATAGGCTGAGATTTAGCTGATTTTTTGTTGATTTTATGGGGGGGAGAGGGGGGGGAGGCTGAGATTTAGCTGACTTTTTTGTGGATTTTATGTGGGGATAGGCTGAGATTTAGCTGACTTTTTGTGGATTCTTTGTGGGGGGGGGGGGGGGAGGCTGAGATTTAGCTGACTTTTTGTGGATTTTATGTGGGGATAGGCTGAGATTTAGCTGACTTTTTGTGGATTTTTTGTGGGGGGGGGGGGGGGAGGCTGAGATTTAGCTGACTTTTTGTGGATTTTATGTGGGGATAGGCTGAGATTTAGCTGACTTTTTGTGGAATTTTTGTGGGGGGGGGGGGAGGCTGAGATTTAGCTGACTTTTTGTTCATTTTATGGGGGGGGGAGAAGGCTGAGATTTAGCTGACTTTTTGTGGATTTTATGGGGGGGGGGGGACTGAGATTTAGCTGACTTTTTGTTCATTTTATGGGGGGGGGACTGAGATTTAGCTGGCTTTTTGTTGATTTTATGTGTGTGATGGGGGGGGGAGGCTGAGATTTAGCTGACTTTTTGTTCATTTTTATGTGGGGGAGGCTGACATTTAGCTGAATTTTTGTGGATTTTATGTTTATGGAGATTTAACTGACTTTTTGTTGATTTTATGGGGGGGAGGGAGGTTAAGATTTACCTGACTTTTTGTTGATTTTATATGAGGGGAGACTGAGATTTAGATGAATCTTGGTTGATTTTATGTGTGGGGATGTGATAGTTGATTTTATATGAAATGCTGAAATTCATGTGGCTGAAAATTTTTTCTGTTTGAATATTGAAAATTCAATGGATTTTTTGTGAATTTTTTTTTCAAAACTATTTTTGTTTTAAATGTAATAGATCAAGTTTGATTTTTTATATATTGGATGTCTGAAAATAAATTGTTCATTGTTGATTTTTAACTGGAAGTATTTGGCTGATAGTTGTGAGGTTGAAAATAATGTAACAATCAAAAGCATGTAAGTCTCTGTTCCTTATTTTTGGTATTTTGTCAGGCTAAAAGTTATTTCTACGAATGTAGAGTTGGGCAGTGTGGTTGTCTTTACAATGTTTACACTGCCCCATATGTAGAATATACAACCAGTGTTGTAGCATTGTCTACTACATAGGCTACTAGATTGTCATAGTCTACTACATAGTCTACTACATAGTCTACTATATAGTCTTACTATATAATCTACTACATTATGCATAGATCCTCTATAATTATCATGTAACATGTAATTAGTTGTCATCTAGAATTGTCTCGCTATCTGTAACTATAATGACATCTATAATTATGTGAACTATATTGTCATGTCATTTTTAATTATAACAACATCTGTAATTATATAGTCAACTAAAATTATCATGACATCTGTCATTATTATGACAGTAGAACAGCTTTATGCCATCTGCATTTTTTATCAGTATCATGTGTTATGATTTTATATTTAGTCTTAATATCTAAGATAATTTTTGTCAATTACTTTTTTTTTAATACTGATTTTGTTTTTGTTGGTTTATTTATTTTACAACAACTATGTGAATAATGTGTTTAAACATATTGAATAATGATGAAGATAATTATTTTAAATATTGAACATATATTTGTATTTTTATATTGGCATCTGTTAATTTAACAAGTTTAAAATTCTGAAAATCTGTTGCAGGGCCGAATGGATTTACCTTGCTTGATGAATAATAAAATCTTATGCTTGTATTTGTAAGTGTATGCTTTAGTCTGGTCGCTGATAATTTTGTGTCCGAGTCGCCCAATTGTTAAGAGTGTCGAGATAATCAACTGGGAGGGGGGGATAATCCAGTTTGGGAGAGGGGGGGTGACTTTACATCTAGTCACCACTAGACCCCCGCCGGTAGTCACCCCTTGACTACCGCGAGTAGTCGCCCCTAGACTCCCGCGGGTAGTCATCCCAAGACCTAACCTAGTGGTCCTATCACCACCTCTAGAATGTATGGGAGCGGGTGGTCAAATCTTTATTTTACAATGTCAGGTTTGACATCGGCTGCATCCATCTTTTATCTCTTGTTCTCCATTAACCTGTTTCAATACAACTTATGCATAGAAACCCAGAATAACTTGACAACCCCATCACTGTGACAACCCCATCACTGTGACAACCCCATTCTTGGGACTACCTCACTGATGTGACAACCCCGTCACGGCAACAACCCTGTCACTAAGACCAGTTGCGTAGCGAGGTCGGGTGTCACCCGGTGCGGCACTTAAAGGCGTTACCCCCCAGAGGCGTAGCGACCCTTCCCTTGGACAAACTTGCGCCCCCCTTCCTCAAACTTTCGATTTGCACACCCCCCACCTCTAAATGGTGTCACCCTTGAGTGAGATAACGCCACTAACGAGACAACCTTATTACTGTGACAAGCCCATATAATCACAACAATGAAAGTATCAAACTCCATATTTTCCATACAAACTTGCTGATTAATCTGACCTACAAATATACAATTTGACCTATTTATCTAAGTACTCTATATACAAGATCAACAACTGTATGGGCGTTTAACAGAATTCATAATTAACTTCTAATTAAAATAAAAAGCCGGGCCCAAAGTTAACCTCGGCTGTTGGCCTATAGCAGTTTTTGATGACTCGACTGTTGGCCTATAGTAGATTTGATGACTCGACTGTTGGCCTCTAGTAGATTTGATGACTCGACTGTTGGCCTCTAGTAGATTTGATGACTCGACTGTTGGCCGCTGTCCTGGTTTGATGACTCGACTGTTGGCCTATAGTAGATTTGATGACTCGACTGTTGGCCTATAGTAGATTTGATGACTCGACTGTTGGCCTATAGTAGATTTGATGACTCGACTGTTGGCCTATAGTAGATTTGATGACTCGACTGTTGGCCTATAGCAGATTTGATGACTCGACTGTTGGCCGCTGTCCTGGTTTGACTGTGGCGTACCTGTGGTTTACCTGGCAAAATACCGGTTTAACGATTTTGGCAGATTTCTCGACAGATAATCCGCCTGCTCGCAAACCCTACATTCACATCTAAAACGCGTATAAAACAAAACAGGTGGATTTCAAGGGGGGGGGGAGTGAGAGGGGGTCTAATATCGAGACATTTTATGAACACGGGCCTCAAGGGCATCACAAATACTGCATTGTTTAAAGAAACATTAGGCGGGTTACTGAATGAGGTGGTTTAACAGTTTTGTATATTTGGAAATAGGTGTGCTGCATGTTCAATGTGTTGGTCAATATTCGGAAATAAGATAGTTTTTTTTTATCAATGTTGTGATCACCCTACGGAAATAGGTGTGTTGTTTGTTCAATGTATTGATCTATATTTTGGTACGTTTATTAACAGATACAATATGATAAAGAATATATAAGTCATTCGTACAACTGTAGGCTTAAATGTATATTCTCCCTCTCTCTCTCTCTACACACACACACGCACACACACACACACACACATATATATATATATATATATATATATATATATATATATATATATATATATATATATATATATATATATATATATAATATATATATATATATATAGGCTTATAGGCTCTAGTTAAGAAAGGTAAATGTTTTTATTATATTACTACGCTTATACAATAATTAGAACGTAGTCACTACAACATATTATTTTAATGTATGAATTATAACAAACCATGGCTATTTTAATAATATAAGAATTGTTAAGAAGTGTCCTGTAATATCTTAATCTAATTCGTTGGGCATTATTTTTTTTAACAAGAGCTGGGGAGATTTTTAAGCAAAAATAAAATACTGATGGCATTTATCAATAAAATTGATCATTGATTGTTGCGATCAATGTATTAGACAAACCCGACAAAAAGGGCTCCTATATTAAGATAAATGGCAAAGTATTATATTTATTATTCTAAATTTGAAAGTCACCAGTCAGTCACTGGATGATGTGTACAATTGTGTGGGGTCCCTCTGCCCTCACACACCCGTACACCCTCGCTTGGAAACTTCAACTCTTCTCACACATCCACCGAATAATTGTTCCCCATCACATCCACTTGAACACCCACCTCATCACACCCATCTCGACCCACATCGCCAACACACCCATATCAACACCCACCCCATCACACCCATCTCAACACCCACCCCATCACACCCATCTCAACACCCACCCCAGTCAAACCCCCATCTCAACACCTACCCCAGTCAAACCCCCATCTCAACATCCACCCCATCACACCCATCTCAACACCCACCCCAGTCAAACCCCCATCTCAACATCCACCCCATCACACCCATCACAACACCCACCCCATCACACCCATCTCAACACCCACCCCATCACACCCATATCAACACCCACCCAATCACACCCATATCAACACCCATCTCAACACCCACCCCATCACACCCATCTCAACACCCACCCCATCACACCCATCTCAACACCCACCCCATCAGCCCCATCTCAACACCCACCCCATCACACCCACCCCATCAGCCCCATCTCAACACCCACCCCATCACACCCATCTCAACACCCACCCCATCACACCCATCTCAACACCCACCCCATCAGCCCCATCTCAACACCCACCCCATCACACCCACCCCATCAGCCCCATCTCAACACCCACCCCATCACACCCATTACAACACCCACCCCATCACACCCATCTCAACACCCACCCCATCAGCCCCATATCAACACCCACCCCATCACACCCACCCCATAACACCCATCTCAACATCCACCCCATTACACCCATCTCAACACCCATCCCAGTCAAACCCCCATCTCAACATCCACCCCATCACACCCATATCAACACCCATCTCAACACCCACCCAATCACACCCATATCAACACCCACCCAATCACACCCATATCAACACCCATCTCAACACCCACCCAATCACACCCATATCAACACCCACCCAATCACACCCATATCAACACCCATCTCAACACCCACCCCATCATCCCATCTCAACACCCACCCCATTACACCCACCCCATCACACCCATATCAACACCCACCCCATTAC